TTATATTGGATTGTTGTGAGGAGGTTGGGTACGGCAGATTTCTGCTCGAATTTAAGATGCCTGATGGAGTATTTCTGCTTATTTGGGATTGAGAATGACTGATTAGGTAAACTGCTTTTTACACATTTAGGTTGGCAAACAAGTACATGACTTGACTTTAAGTGTTTGGGGATTTTATATAACAGTGGAATACATGGGTGTCATAACCTGTTCAGCAGCTGATCGCGGTTAATTTTTTAATTTTTTGAGGTTGCAAACAAGCCTACGTTTAGCCAGATAGGTGTTCCCGGTGGCTATATTACTATAATACCCGGTAGTTAAATCACTTAATCTATATAAATAAATAAAATTGAAGTGTCTGTTTGTAATGTCTAAATAATAGGTTTTTTTCCTGCTCACATCGATACCTATGCCTAAAAACCAGTTTCAATATTTTTGTCTGTCGGTATCTGCTGACTTTGAAAATCGCTGTATTAGTGGTGTAGTACGTTAAGCGACTGCAGTCTATGAGGCTTCGGGTTCGATTCCCCAACCGGACAAAATTTTATAGGGTTTTTCTGAGAGAAAAAATAGCCTAAGTTACTCCCTATATAGACAGCTACCTGGTAGTAAAATACTATCAAAATCGGTCCCGGAACAGATGGACAGACAGACAAAAAATTGTTAAACTGGTTTTTAGTCATAGGTGTCGTGCAAATAACGGTGTGAGCACGAAAAAGACATTACAAACATACACTTCAATTTTATTTATTTGTATAGATTATAAATGTAGGATTATGCGATCGGGCTGCCATGCCGCGATTGAAGGGGGAAGTGTTCTCCCCTGGGATAGGGCCTGATTAGGCATGGTGTTAATTCGAGGAGGACCTGAAATAACATGGTCCGGGTCCTTCCCAGAGTAGGACACCTAAGGCCGGCGTCGGGGTGGTTTTTAGTGGAATTACCACATACTCCTGGCTCCTGAGCCCCGAGGAGCAGCAGATCCGAAGGGATTTTGCACCCCGGTAACAAAAAAAAATAATTAAAAAAATGTAGAAGATGTCAGGCGGCTCTAATTCGAGCTGATATCTGCTCTACATATGTATATTACAACACAATTTTAATTTACATTGTATAAGTTTTAATGGCACCTTTCACTGCAAAATGTAACTTTCAAATCCTACCGCAATTAGCTCAGATAAAAAAAAACTTTTATTATTTTCACACGACATTAACACTTCAATTCATCGTATCCATTATCGATAACCAATATCGATTTCGTAATGAAATCGATTGAATAATCGATTCGATTGGCTCTGTATTACACTAACAGGTAATGTTTTTAAAAACATTTCAATAGCTTTTAAATAAAATGTAAGTATTGATATCAATCTACTTATGCATCTACGAATAAATTAAATTTAAGTGTCTGTTGGTCAAGTCAAAATAATAGGTTTTTGAAGTAAAACTTCTTTACGCACGCTTGACTTGGGGAGTAAGATGCTGAATGCGTGACGAGAGCGTTACGAACAGTGTGATCGGGCGAGGTGAACGGAAGTTGAGAGGGAGATATAAATTAGTGAATATAGAAAGAAAGAGAGAGTTGCGAGCACACATTTTCTTTCTCTCTTTCTCTCATGGCCAAGAAGTTTTACTTCAGTCGTGTGGTTTTTTCATTCTCACACGTTATTTGCGCGATACCTGTGCCTAAAAACCTGTTCAATTTTTTTTTGCCTGTCTGTCTGTTTGTTCCGGGTAAACTACAAAACGGCTATACCGATTTTGATAACATTTTACTGCCAGGTACGTTTCTGCACTGATTGAGCTCAAACTTTGACACGATATACCTACAACCCGCTTTAAGAATGACCATGACCATTTTATCCACAATTTTATCTTACAACTACAATTATTTGAGAATTTATCATCATCTGCCTACCCTTTTCCCAATTTTATTTGGGGTCGGCGCAGTATGTATGATTTTTCCATTCTACTCTGTCATGCGTCATCTCACTGTTTACTCCCTTCCTAGCCATATCCTCCCTGACACAGTCCATCCACCTCTTCTTCGGTCTGCCTCTACTCTTGTACCCTTCAACTCTCATTTTCCTCATCCCTCCGCATTTGAGAATTTAATATAAATTTAAAACTTTCATTAATTCATAAATAAAACTCGAACTAATAACGAGAAAAAATAAATATAAAGGTCATTCACAATCATCCAATCTATCAAAGGGCCAAATTCAATGATACGTTAATATTTCTCACCCGTAGTATTAAAATGATCAAAGTGCTGTTTTTATATCGCACCGAACAATACAGTATCGTGTGAAATAAATATTTTTTATGTTAGTTCCGTCCTTCTACTTGTATTGTCATAGATAATTACTTTATTATATTAGCTTTTTTTTTAATGATACAGGACCATGCTCTATGGGTGTATGGCGGGAGCAACAGTGACGCGTAAGGCCGCGTCCTCAAAACTCCTCCTGGACACCATTGATCTGAACACATAGATCTGAGTGTTAGCCCGTAAAGAAAACGGATGCAAGATGCCTGCATGTATTTGAAATGCGAATGTTAGGATGGATGTGTGGTGACACTAGAATGGACAAGGTCATGACCACATTAGAGGAAACCTGAAAATAGCACCAGTGGAAGAAAAGTTGAGAAGCAACTTGTTATCCTGGTATGGTCATGTGATGCGTAAAGATGAGCAAAAGGTAGTTAAGAATTGAGAATGGAAGTTGACGGATATAAGAGCAGTGGACGACCAAAGAAAAGATGGATGGACTTCGTGAAAGATGATGCCGATAGGAAGGGAGTAAGCAGTGAACTGCCGAGTGACAGAGGAGAGTAGAAGAAGAAAATACATTGTGGCGACCTCAAAGAAATTTGGGTAAAGCGTAAGAGATGATGATGAGAGGAATTGGAAAATTTTAATGGATTTAGTTCATTTCCAATCTGTGTGTATCATATACACTACCTATAGTAGGCCAATACCTCCTTTCTAAGGAGAGGCCTATGTCCATCAGTGGACTGTTAAAGGCTGTTGATGATGATGATGATATACACTACCTATATACGTCAAGAGTTATGGTGGGCACTGAAAATTAATACTGGGACGGATCATGTCCATTACAGTCAATGCTGAGGGTCCACGTTTTAAGCGGCGGTAGCCTAGTGGTTAAGGCATTGGACTTGCGAAAAAGAGGTCTTGGGTTCGAATCCTGACGATTACCGACGTGAACCCACTCATAACACAAGCAATTTAGCTTAGCGGGAGGGGTTAACGGCAATATTAGTAATTTCCGTTGCTGGTAGACCTTTAAAAAAAAGAATTTTGGGACATAGCGTACAACGCTCATCAAAATAAGCTATCAATGTAGTAAAGAGGCCTATTTGGTTACTGTACGTAACATAGGTATAGGTCCCTTCTCTTTGGTACCATATATAACCTAAAATAATCACATCACATCATCACATCAACAGCCTTTAATAGTCCACTGCTGGCCATAGGCCTCTCCTATGAAAGGTTATTTTAGCCTACTATACCGCGCTGGCCATACAGGTTGGTATAGGGTTTGAAGTTTTCCTTCTCTAATTCCTAATAAGTTAAATGATCTTTGCAATGTACTCGTAATTATATGAGTAATAATAAATATATGAAAATTTGACATTGATAAATTAAACTTGGTACATAAAGCTAGTATTTATTAAATGACAGATCTGACACGATCTGAGTCTGCGGTAACCTCACACTGAAAGAATTCGTTAAGTTTTCCTTCTCTTTGCAGTGCTGTTATCCTGCGTAGTTCGCTCCCTCAGTCGGCTCTTACGACACCCACGGGATGAATAGTGGTAGGTAGTGACATTCTGTATTCTTAATCCGTCACCACACGGATACTAAAATAACTATTAAAATAATAGTGACGTCATACCTGACCATGACCACAGATAACGTAGTCGGGGATATAAAACATCGCCTTGTCTTTCACGTACAACAGGTCAATAGTTTTAAGCCTCAAAAATACAATAACCAAATCATTATATAAAATATATTCTTTGTTTTTTCCTTTCAACATCAGTTGTATGCTGTGTTTTTTACAGAATTAAGTTTTTTTTTATTTATATAGAGAACAGACGAGTGTGTGCCATATGTCATCTACTAGTTAGTTCTAGTCATTAATTCAATTGTAATTAAACCTTAATCAATCATCATCAACAGCCTATAACAGTCCACTGCTGGACATAGGCCTCTCCTTATAAAGGAGGTTTCGGCCTACTATACCACGCTGACCAGACGGGTTGATATAGGGTTTGTTTCAAGTTTTCCTTCTCTTTGCAGTGCTATTGTTCTGCGTAGTTTGCACCCTTAGTGGCTCTTTCGACACCCACGAGATGAATACTACCAGTGACATTCCATATTCTTAATTCGTCACCACACGGACAATCAATCATAAGGAACCATAATTATATTCGGTAAGTAATTTTTTCCGAGTGAGTGAGGTTACGGGTAGGTTCATAACCTCCTCCCCTCCCCCCTCTATCATCCTACTCTAGTTTTGCGGAGGATCCTTTCAAAAAAATGATATTCAGTAGATAAATTGCTTTGATTGCGGCATGTTACACTTTCACACAATTGTTAAAAAAATATTGTATTACATAGTATTTTAAACAAAGTGGCTTTAAGATTATTTCTCTACGTCTAGTTACAAAGACATCAAGTAAGATTATGTATCTTGTGTATTACATAAGTACGTAAGATACTACGTAATATGAATGAATAAATTTACTGCTGCTCCTCTTTAAAAGACAACTCCCGCCCTAGGAATATTATTATCCTGAGTCGTAGAGGACTTTACAAACATTCATTAAAGGATACAAGTGTTCTCTCTAATGGGGATCGAATCAACAACACTCAGGGTAGTAGAAGGCGGCGAGGCGACCGCGAATACCACTACGCCATCCGTGCAGTCGAGTTTAGGTCAAGTTTTGTAAACTTTGCAAAAAAGACTTACCTTTGTTACAGATGAAATCATTTTGCTAATGTAGTACCTGCAAAATAAAAATACTGGTTTACATTTCATTATCATTTATTCTTTATTATGTATACAATAAATTAATGTAGGTTTAAGTCTAAAATTAACAAAAAGTGACCAAAAAGAATCAAAATATACTTGACACTATTTCATATAAAAAAAATCACTGTTCTCTCAGTGTTGAACTATAAAAACTGAAATTAACAGTGAAGTGACACACAAATAATTTAAAACTGACATAACCTAAAGTAACAGGACATTATATGCAAAAACGCGAGCTTAACCCAAATATGCGTTTCCTTAGAGTGAAACTTTAAAGAGGATAGCAGAGAACGTAAGGAAGGGAAATACACATTGATTTGAATAGATACATATTCATCACACACATCAATAGCCTTTACTAGTCCACTGCTGGACTTAGGCCTCTCATTAAAAAGGAGGCTTTGGCCTACTATACCACACTAGATTAAGAATATGGAATGTCAATACCCCAATTTATCCCGTGGGTGTTGTAAGAGCCGACAAAGGGCGCTAAACAACGCAGGCCACCAGCACTGCAAAAAGAAGGAAAACTTGACACAAACCCTGTACCAACCCGTCTGGCCAGCGTGGTATAGTAGGCTTAAACCTCCTTTCTAAGGAGAGGCCTATGTCCAGCAGTAGACTATTAAAGGCTGTTGATGTGAGGAGATGTCAGCCACCTCTCTATCAAAATGTATCATAATGCCACCAATTATGATAAATTTTGGTAGCCGTTTAAGCGGGAAGAAGTAATAAACGTTTTGTATGTTCGTTACTTCTTCACACACACTCACAAACTTTTCCCTAATAACATTAGTGTGATAAATTATTATATTCACTGTTTAAAATGTTGCGTCACTTGGTCAATCGCAAAATACTACTGTAACTTGATTGCGCGATGCAGACTCAGCAATTGCTAAGTGATTCAGCTTACGTAAGGTAGATGGCGTTATGTCAAGATTAAACATCGGTTTTAGATTACAAATATAAAAAATATTATCAGATTTCCCATAATCTCGAAAGTAAAGAGGCTGTGTGAATTTTAGGTAATCGGAAACCCATCTACACCTGACCGCGGCGGCATTGCTTAACCGTGGCCCCTATATGAAGCAGATATTTCATAAACAATTGCAGTTCGGCTAGGTCACAAACCAATTATGTTTAACATCGTGTAGGCGCCCCGTTCACACAGAAACTGCCATTGTTGTACTTGCGTGTGGCAAGTAATTTGTGTTTTAGGTAAACGATTTAAAATACCTATTCAGGCTTTTAAAGATGGTTATCTATGAAATAAAGGAAAAAATATCTATAACATTTTTGCACAACGTTATTTAAAAGACCCTAACTACGCGTAACTTGTAAGGTGTAACATCCATCTTCTACCTTCATCATCATCATCAACAGTCTTTAATAGTCCACTGCTGGACATAGGCCTCTCCTTAGAAAGGAGGTTTTGGCTTACTAGTAAACGCTGGCCAGACGTGTGGGTTTGTTTCAATTTGTCTTCACTATGCAGCGCTGTTGTCCTGTATAGTTTGTTCCCTTAGTCGGCTCTTACGACACTGGATGAATAGGGGTGTGGACATTCCGTATTCTTAATCCGTCCCCACACGGATTGTTCTAGCTTTCTCTACCTTCAGTTGCAGCCAAAATCATATGTAATTTTACCTGTTACAGATTGAGCCAACTCCAAATCAAATTGACAAAGTGGAGGCTGGAAGATGATATGATGAATTGGTGATGATTTTAATATCATCATAATTATGAAGAGTGCCGTATTTATAAACTCAGAACATTGAAGTATAAACTTATGCTATTGGGTCGGTTAGCGTAAATACCAAATGCATATAATTTTATTTTCTTTTAATGACAACCACATAAGCGGGATAATATTCCCATTTAATATTAAAAAGATTTTAAACGAAATTTAAAAGCGAATGGTCGAGCGCATAATGGCGGACGGAGCGATAATTTAATTGTCTCCCGTCTCTGTTGGCCGCCATCTTTAATGTTTTTGGTTTTCTAGATTCTGTTATTTTTTGTAAAAGAATATAAAATATATTTTATATTGATAGTTATACAGATAACAAAGTAAATAATTTGATGGGCTGCATTAAACTTACTCACGCCTGCACGAGTGGCGAAGTGGTAGCTAAACCCACTTCCTACTGTGCAGGTGTTGTGCGTTCGATACAAGATAGAACTACAATTTATGTGATCTACAATTGTTGTTCTAAGTCTGGGAGTACTGTGTGTCCGTTTCATGAATGTTTGTAGTATGTTAAGTCCCCCGCGACACAGGATATATTCCTAGTACGAGAGTTGTCTTATAGGAAACGAAAAAAAACCTACATTCCTGTAGAGGCGTAGTAAACACCAAAATTTTTGCTAACCATAACTTGCGTTCAACTTACATAAAAGGGGTCAAATATATTGTTATTTTTTTTTTTTAAAGACTACTCCCGAACTAGGAATATATCTTGTGTCGCGGGGGACTTTACAAACATACATGAAAGGGACACAAAGTACACCCAGACTCAGAACAACAATTTGTTGTTCACACAAAGTGTTGTCCCATGTGCTGATCGAAACCACAACTCTCAGTGTAGTAGTAAGCAGCGTGACGACCGCTTAAACCACTACGCCATCCGTGCAGTCAATGCATTATGCAATATGAGAGTATATTAAAAGGAATGGTAGAAAAGAAAAAAATGGCAATGGTAGGAAAATGAAAGCTCGGCGGTTAACAGAAAGTCCGACCAGGGCCTCAATTCTGCTATTTTATGTTCACGCCAAGCCAGTGTCATACCACTGACACGCTATTGAGATGCCATCGAGTGGCCATTGGCATCGGTATAAATATTGGTAATTGAAAATATAATACGTTTTTTGAGGAAATTATTTTTTTATTTTATTTTGATAATTTATTTCTTTTGTTTTTATAGTTTTAAATTTTATTTTGTTAATTATACCGATATTTACCGAGGCCCAGGGCTGTAACTAGAGAGGTCCTCACGGTCCTTATGTTCAAGGATGCAGAAATTGTGATATTGTGTTATTGTGATATATTCCATATTTCATTGCCTCGATGGTGCAGTAGTAGCGTATGCGACCGCTGTGCTGAGGTCTCGGGTTCGATTCCCGGGTTGGACCAAATGTTTATATGATCTTTAAATATTTGTTTCGAAGTTTGGTTGTTTTTTTTTTGTATAGTATGTATTTACAAAAGTATGTGAGTATTCTATCAGTCAATCTAGCTTTCATAGTACAAGATCTGCTTAGTTTGAAACTAGATGGCGTTGTGTGTTAGATGTCCGAAAATATTATTATTATTAATAGTTTTAGATTTAAAAAAAAATCCAATTAAAAAATTCAGTAAAACAAAATATCTAAATTTTTCATAGAATCATAGACTAATTTTCATATTCATGCTTGATAGTTACGAAAGATAAAAATATCGTATGCGCCACGCCATTTTACGCGCCATCTTAGAAGTTTTAAAAGTTGCCAACAAAAAAACAGAGGTTGTCTCACTGAAATCCGTAAACAGCCAATGGCTTAATCAAATTACTGTGAGAATATAACAAATGAATATCCTCATTACATTAAAAAACTGCTTTAACGTAAATTATATAATAAATTATGTGACAATTGTTTTCGTACCGTAAAAAAATTCATTCACATGACTATTTGTATAAATCATTCTTTAAGTTTATAGTGAATAAGGCTTACCTAGGACTAAATATTGTAGTTTTATTTTTAATATTTTGAAAATGGAATAATTAAGTGTATTTTTTAATTTTAATTTAATATTTTTAATTTCGTTTAAAAACATTTGTGTAATATTTTCATATTTGAATAAATATTATATTGCGTTATTTTACATTATGTTTATAGATTTAAATTATTATTTGCTAAGATTTATTTTGAATTAATTTACTATTTGATTATTTGTTGGTATAGTTTTATTTTGTATTCGGAGTGAAGTTGTAGTATTAATAATAATGAAATAGATATTCTGTAAAGCGGGTACATACTAATTTCATAATAAAACATAAAAAAATCATGTAAAGATATTTATCTATAATTAATGTTTATTTAAAAGCCTCTATCTATAAAAGATCTCTATTGTTGCACTATTAATGTAATAAATTGTTAATACCATAGACTAAAGCAAAAAATAATCGCGCCATAAGAAGTGGACTCCATTATTTCCATGTTTTAAAAGTAGAATTTATTTTAAGTATATGGTAACTATCGAGTTTCGAATTTTCCTTTTTTTTTCTGTCAAATTGTAAAGCTTTCTCAAATTTTATGAACATGTTGGTTTTCGATTAAAAATATTTAGACGCCATTTTGTTAGCAGTCTACGTTATATACAACTATTAAGTAAGCAGTTAAATTGATTACCAATTTTAACTTTGATTAAAACAGTTACTACCGAGTGTGATGTATCTGTTAGATTTTGATATGATTGCGAAAGTTGCGTAATTTAATTTATTATTGGCGCTTTAATGTCAAAAATTATTGAGCTAACGGCCATTTTATAGCAAGGCAAGTTAATGAAAGTTCAAAGACCTATATTAATGTGTATTAGATGTTTTTTCCTGTTCAGTTATTGGTTTACATATGCCAATAGATAGTTTTTTTTTATTAGACACAAAAAAGTATTGTAGAGTGAGCGTCAATGATATTAAATACAAACAAGAGGTAGACACGCCACCAACGCACAAAACGCGATGGTCCTTAGGATTACTAGTGTTTTATCTATGGGTCCTAATTAGGACCACTGTGAGCGAGCGCACGTACTAATTAATTCGAGAAAATTCATAAAATGCTTTTCTGTGTATTCTGAAAGTGCAGAATTACGATAAAAAGGTAAATAAAGATAAAGGAACATCATACCACAGATAAGTGTATGTTTTGTTCTGAAATGCATTAATAGATGTATGTACGGTTACGGAACAAATATTTTGAAA